CATCATCGTCACCATCAAAACCATCATCGTCACCATCAAAACCATCATCAGCACCATCATCTGCTAAAAAACCGGTAGCAAATGTTAAACAAGAAAAAGTCACACCGAAAAAAGAAACAAAAACTATATTAATTTCACCGGTAGTACCACCAGTTAAAGAAACAACAACGGGAAGACGAAAGAAAAAAGAAGAAGACGAAGATGTTTGGCGATGGTAAAATTTATTTTCTATTTCGTTCAATCTTTAATAACATCTATTCATTTTTTCAGGTGGGAAGAAGAAAAATATACTGATGGTCGTAAATGGACAACACTTGAACATAAAGGTCCATTATTTCCACCTCCGTATGACCCATTACCAAATCATGTCAAATTTTTCTACAATGGTTTGTTTATTTTTCTTTTTCTAAATCTATGATCTTATTATTCTTTTTGTTTTATAGGTAGTGAAGTTAAATTAAAAGAACCCGCTGAAGAAATTATGACATTTTATGCTCGTATGCTTGATCATGATTATACATCGAAAGATGTTTTTAATACTAATTTTATGGCTGATTGGCGTAAATCAATGACATCAGCTGAACGTGAATTAATAAAAGATATACGTAAATGTGATTTTACCCAAGTTGCAAATTATTTCAAAGAACAAACGGAATTACGAAAGACAATGAGTAAAGAAGAGAAAAAGAAGATAAAAGAAGAAAATGAAAAAATACGTAAAGAATATGGTTATTGTATGTGGGATAAACATCGACAACCAGTTGGCAATTATAAAATTGAACCACCAGGTCTTTTTCGTGGTCGTGGTGAACATCCAAAAATGGGATGTTTAAAAAAACGTATTCGACCAGAAGATGTTATTATTAATATTGGTCGAGGATCACAAATACCTAAAGCACCTGAAGGACATCGATGGAAAGAAGTTCGACATGATAATAAAGTATCATGGCTTGTTATGTGGACGGAAAATATTCGTGGAAATAATAAATATATTATGTTAAACGCTTCATCTCGTGTTAAGGTTAGTACTATTTATTTATTCAGAAAAAGAACTTTTATTGAAATCTATGTCATATATTCAATTTCTGGGAATTTACTTTTACTTAGCCATTATAGTTTATCGCGAACGAAATTATAAAATTTCTTAATTTAGATTATTTATAGTCTATCTCTAATTATGCTTACTCGGACTGGATTTTTTGTTACCAATGTTTGTCAAAGCTAAAATCTTTTATTCTACTGGAACATGTTAGACTTCAATAGTTACATATTTTTCTAATTAAAATAAAGCAAATGAGGTTGACAGGAAGGCGACCTTTGACAGATAATTTAAGCTATAATCATAGCAGACTTCATACTGCGCAAACAAAGTCAGACAAGAACTATAATAAGAGCTGGCGAGGGTTATGTAGAAAACTAAAAATAAGAGTTCGAAAAGACAACATACGATGAATATTTCTGATAGTTGAATTACTATTTCAGTGTATTCCTGATTAATAATACTAAAACTCATCTATTTAATCAATAGAAAACAAAAAAGTTCTTTCATATTTTAAAATGATTTCTCTTTTAGGGTGAACGTGATTGGCAAAAATATGAAAAAGCGCGAAAACTTCATAGAGTTATTGATAAAATACGTGATAGCTATCAAATTGATTGGAAAAGTAAAGAAATGCGTATACGTCAACGTGCAATTGCACTTTATTTTATCGATAAAGTAATTATGATTACTATTTTAAAAAAAACGAAACAAAAAAATTAAATATAATATATTATTTTTAAGCTTGCTCTTCGTGTTGGTAATGAAAAAGATGAAGATGAAGCCGATACAGTTGGTTGTTGTTCATTACGTGTTGAACATATTCAATTATATGATAGACTCGAGGGTCTTGGTGAAAATATAGTTGAATTTGATTTTCTTGGTAAAGATAGTATTAGGTAAAAATTTACAAAATTTCTTTTTTTCGTTTTATACTATAAATTTCATTTCCTATTTAGATACACCAATAAAGTTGTTGTTGAACCACGTGTATATAAAAATTTAAAATTATTCATAGAAAATAAAGAAGCAGAAGATGAATTATTTGATCGTCTTACGGTAAAATAAAAAATAATCTTGACCTTGTTTTTTTTATTATTATGAACTATTTATTTTAATAGACAACAGGTCTTAATCAATATTTAAGCGAATTAATGGATGGTCTTACTGCAAAAGTTTTTCGAACATATAATGCATCAAAAACACTTCAAGATCAACTTGATTTACTTACAAATCGAAAAGAAAATGTATCTGAAAAAGTTCTTTCTTATAATCGTGCTAATCGTGAAGTTGCAAAATTATGTAATCATCAACGTTCCGTACCAAAAACATTTGAAAAAAGCATGGAAACACTTAAAGGAAAAGTAAGTGAAAAACGACATATTTCTTTACTATTTTAACAATAAAAATTCTTGTTATAGATGGATGCAAAAAAAGCTGAAGTTAATGAACAAAAAGCTGAACTTAAACGAGCTAAAGCCGAATATAAAAATTCTAAAAGTCAAGCATCTCAAAAGAAAATGGAAGCAGCCGAAAAGAAATTAGAACGTACAGAAGAAGCATTAAAAAAACTTGAATTACAAGTAGTCGATCGTGAAGAAAATAAGGATGTTGCACTTGGTACATCTAAACTTAACTATCTTGATCCACGTATTAGTGTTGCATGGTAAGATGAAAAAATACTATTTTTGTAACTTTATAACAAATCTCTTTTTCAAGGTGTAAAAAATGGAGTGTTCCAATTGAAAAAATTTATTCGAAAACTCAACGTGATAAATTTCGTTGGGCCATTGATATGGCAACATCTGATTATCATTTTTATAATTATAAAGGTGAAATTGTCTTACGTAATGTTGACGAAAGTAATAATAATGGTGATGAAGAAGATGATGATGAAGAACAAAATTCGGATGATGAGTGATTCTTATTTAGTTTATTTGTTTTGTCTTTTTTTTTCTTTTTTTTTTTCTTTGTTCGTATTTTCTGTGTATGACTATATGAGTAAAAAAGAAAGACATTTACTCATTTTGTTTTGTCGATTATGTTTTTTTTTTTGTTCATGTATTGCTTTTCTTTTTCTTTCTTTTCCGTGTCTATTTCTTTCATTTGCCGCTTACAATGTTTTTTTCTCTTCTTGTCTTGTTCTCATTACAATGTTATTCGTTTTGACCAATAAAGACGCATAGTCTTGCAGAAAAATCTAACTAGAAAAAACAAAAAATCAATTTCAATATCTTTCTCATCTTAATTCATAATAATAAACATTTTTTCGTTATTTCCATGAAAATAAAAAAAAATCTTATATTAATGTCTTATGAATGTTTTTCTCATCACGAGATTCTTAATGTTACTCATATGAAAATAAGAAGATCATTAATCAAACTTACATATAGTATAAAATATAGATACAATCAAATATGAATAATAAGTATATATCAATCGAAATAAAAATATTACCACAAATGACATATACCAAAAGATAAATGAAGTAGATACAGCACTCTTTTTCCTTCAATTCATATATCATTATTTATCGATATTCTGTCTGTTACTATTAAACCTAAGGCAATAAAATAACGTCCTTCATATGCATATATATATCATCAAAAATACGACTTTCACTTCAGTCGTCTATCTAACGAACGTCTACTTGATTCATTTTGAAGGATTCATACATATGAAATTATGGTTCAAACAATGAATAATACAAGACAAAATTATCAACGTAACAATCGTACAAATGAAATATTACCTAAACAACAACAACAAAATTATATTGTTGTTTATGATCAACCAAAAGTAGTCGTTGTACGTCATTATACAAAAACAATTGTTTCTCATGTTAATCCTGTCGACTATGAAAGACAATATAATACCGCTCTACTTGATACATCAACATTATTAGCTTTAGTTCGGCGACTTAATATTCAAGAAGATCTTGTATGTTAACAACTACAAAAAACAAAAATCGATTTATTTTTTTTATTTAGATTACACCTCCAAAATATCGATACGCCAATTAAAAAACATTAATGAAGAAAGAAAGAATAGCAATGGATTTGTTACCATCAAGATTGAACTGAAAGGAGAATGAACAATTTTTTTTTAAGCAAAGCTAGGAAAATCTATGTATATATATCTATCTCTGTATCTATTTTTAATGCTTAATCAGGATTAAATAAAACCAAGGGGGAACGAGCGCAATCCTGATTCTCGTTGATTCCCGAGAATTTCGTAAAACCATTTTGGATTCCACGATTCCACTCTTTCCCCCTTGAATAAAACTAACAAATAATTAATTTAACTTTAATTCATTAACATATATATATTGTCATATACAAATAAAATAAAAACTTTCTACTTACCTTTAAAATTTCTATTATGAAATGAAATGTTATTAATTAATATCTTTGAATTCATGCATCTATGGATACCAGATAATTAAGATTTTTAGTAAATAGGATCAATCGTTGCCGATTCATTAAATTTTTTTATTTATAGATGATGAATGAAATTATATCTAAAAAAAAAACAACATCGAAATCTTTATAAAAGTTCTATTCCTTTGATACTTACCATAATTCCGATGAATACAATAGAACGATAAAGGTTATTATTAATCAATGTTATAATTTATAACAGTTGACTTATCAAACGTATCCTTCGATAGAAGATCATTTTAAAAATATACAAATTAGAATTGAAATTTATCAAAAATTCGATTATATTAAAGAAAAAGAATAGTAGTTCGTTAAATAAATAAAAATAATTAGATTGATTCATAAAAATTAGTTTCTGATTGTAATCAGGCATTCTAATGAATGTTAATATAATTTTCTTTCATATTTATTTTTATGTCTAGTCTATGAAAAAATACTAGTTTATTTTTATCACAATATCATCAATTTTTTAATTATATAAGTATACTAAATGAGTCAAATTTAACCCTCTGACTAATGCAATAGAATTTTAATCAAAAATAGACTTCTACAGGTGGCTTAAAATATAATTTAAGTAGAATAAATGTTAGGGTTAAGGTGTGAATATTAAGATACTGAATATGGTGTTATCTGAACAATTTATCATAAGTAATAGAAATTGCTATAGCAGTAAATGTCTTGTGTCGGTATGTGTGAAGATGTTTCGGTTTATTAGTGTTTTGATGCGCGTTCTTGACGATAAATTTTTATGACGTCAGTAACAAAAATCCATGCATGACAAATTTCAGTAACGATACGAAGAAAGTATTCGATTAAATTTGATCTAAAAGGTCATGCTTTTTAAAGGACTATACTAAAATAAGATTCTTTTTTTCATCAATAAAAGATTAATAATCTAATTAAAATTCAACTCATAAAATATACAGATCCCGTAATCAAATGCATTAACGCTATTTATGTCAGAAATAGGATATGATCTGGTCTAACCTAGAGAATAGGTTATATAGTAAAATAATAATAATAAAGTACTAAGCAATGAATTTCATGTTTTCGATAATAAATAGATTAATATAAGTATAACTACTAACAATGCTTGAGAATAACTTTCGTCTTATTCAATTAAAAATAGAAAATGAACTAATAAAATTAGCTTTGACGATTAAGAATATGAGACTTACGTATTATCGCTTGAGGATTGTAGAAAACTCTTTGTATCTAATAATTCATAAATAGATATCGATCATTACTTGGAGATATTTTTTATATCTGTTTCACTGTCATTTCTTGTTAATAAACCTATCGAATTTCTTCTCGGAAGCCTTCTATCTTTATCTATCTCTGCTATTATATGTCTGCTTGCCTTAAGTTTTTGTATGATTCTTTTATTCACTGTGTTTTATTTCTTTTTTTCTTCTTCTCAACTCTCTCATTATACTGTCGTATTGTTTTGTTAAGCATATGCGTTTATTTGTAAAGAATTGCTACAGACATCTTATTTACATATCCATATCGTTCATACTGTCTGCATATTGATTGCTGACTAAATTAAAGTATCAATCTATATATAGTTTTTGCAGACTGTATGTCTATCATGCTAATCAAAGGGTGATATCGATAAAAATAACTAATACTATTATACTAACATGAGTATACATAGTTTTTGGAAAAAAATTATTTTAAAGTATGACGAGGTACCTACAAAAATCTCATTTAGATTTCATTTCTGAACAGTTTAAATAGCGACTATGGAAAAAAGACATTTTGCGTTTTATTGTTTTAACTATAGCTCAATACTTTAATAATCATGTTTATCTTCAATATTCATTAAAATATCTTTGATATAAGAATAAACTTAGAATATTTAAAATCAAAGTCACTTCAAAGAAGGAAGTGAGAATTATAAACACCATCCTATTTATATTTTCATAACAAGTTATAAGTTTTGATTAGTTATTTGAATAAATGAATAATTAATTCAATAGTGATCCTGTATAGTTCTAAAGAAAACCTTTCGTTAAATTGTCGAAGATAAATATTTAAGGTATTATCTTGTCTCAATCTTTATATTTATTTATAAAGCAGTTCTATCAAAAATATTGCGGATTATATTCTCATATCGTCAAAATCGCCGAGGTTTGTACGATTAATGGCGATTTAAAAAAGATCGATGATTATATCGCCAGTAAGAAATGGTTATTTTGTCAGAATCATTACAAATCAAGTCTTTTCGAGAAAAAAATCGGCAAAAAGCCCTTAATTTTGACGATTTTATCGCGATAGATATCACGATTAATCGGCTTCTATATCGCGATAACATCGCCTATTTTTACGGAATTTTTAGTGGCATGTATGGTGAAGTATCAAATGACGTTAAATTATCTAGTCTATCAAAATTCTGTCGTTTATGATGGCTATATTTTCATTCAAAAATAATCATCATTTCGGACGATTATAACGCGATTTTTTAGGAAAAAATTGTCGATAAAATCGCGAAATCGTGATATATGGCGATAATACCACAATTTATCGGATGCTAAATCGTACAAATGTAGGCGATTTTGATGATACGGGTTTATATGTAACCAGAAAAAAGAAGTATTAGTAAAATGGAGATAGTAAAAGTGCATTATCAAGGTTGTAAGAAAATTTCCATGAGATATATACGTATTTTTATGCGCGAAAATAAAAAACCCTAATCTTCAATGTTATCTCGACGGATAACTTCTATAAATATTATTTGTGCAGTAGTCTTTTCGCTCTAATATATTTGTTTAGTATTTTAATACCATCGGTGATTAATAAAAATTGTTCCGAAAAAACAAATCTTTGCACTTGGAATTGTTGAATAAGATATCAGTACAGTCCTGTTTATATTTACCTTTTTTTATTGTACATTGCTACAAAACAGTACATATCATATATGAAAAAAATCCTTTTGTTATTTAACACGAAGACAAAAGCATTTTATTAGTGTGAGCTTTCCAATTGAACGACATATAAAAAAAAATGAACTCGAGTATATCACAACGATAAGAGAAAATACATCAAATTTGCAAAAAGAGTATATTATGAAAACACAGATTCGGAAAAAAAGAACAATATCAATATTATATTATTAACAGTTATATTTCTGAATTAACTCCAAATTTATATTACTGATAATTTTATTCCATATTATAGTTAATATTTTCATTAATCCAAGATGGTGGTTGAAAATTTTCTATCATTGACCAGGTGAGAACTAAAATAAAAATAAATATTCAGCTATTTTTCATCTTAATTCTTTGGTCACTCAATATATTTTATCAAAAGAACAAAAACGATCATGATTTTTAACTAACATCAACATTACAACAATGATATTGTCAAAAAAATCACTTACATTTCCATTGTGTCGTACTCTGCTCAGCATCTCTATGTTCATCAATCACAGGTTCCATAGATGGTTCGTCCGTTGGATCACGGAAGTCTGACAAAAAGGGATCAGCTAAATAATCAATATGACATATGAAATACAGAACTCAATCAGTGCTAATATTCTGATAATTTACCTAATGCTTCTTCAGCAGTTGGACGTCTACGAGGATCAAAAGTTAGGAGACGATCAAGTAAATCAATACCTATAAAGAAATAAAATAGATAAGATTAATTTATTTGTTGTAGATTTACCTTGTTGTGATACACCAGATACTGGATCTGCTACTCCTGGCGGATATTTGAAACCAAACAACTGATTAAAATCGGCTTTTGCCTTAGGTTGCAGTCGACTAATATAACATATTGCGTCTAAAAAGTTTTCGATATAATTGTAACTATATTGTGTGATATAAAGAGGTTCTATGAAATATAAAATCTAGTAATAGTTCGATCAAGCAATCTTTACAACAACTCTTGATTTTTTCCAATACAGTCAAACAAACTTACATTATTTCATCTATCGCTCGTTCAACATTATATAAAATGATGACAGCTAAGTTAGTATCTCTTTGCAGTATAAATGAGTACTTATATTTTTCAAATTATGAACATTTTGATTTGTAATATGTTCGTTTCTTTTATGTTCTTATACAAACCTGAAGTACATATTTCATTTAATGTAGTCAAATCGGGTGTACCAATAACATCGAATATTTTATTTAATTGATCAATACTATCATTTCCATTAAATATTGGTCTAAGTAGGATTAACTCTGCCATTATACAACCAACTGACCATATATCAAGTTTATCATTGTAACGTTCCCAATGAACAAATACTTCTGGCGCACGCCACCATCTATTAAACAAAATGTTTTTCAACCTTTAAAATTAGAAACTATTTAACATACCTCGTAGCAACATAACCAGTTTGAACACCGTCCGATGCAACACGAGCTAAGCCAAAATCAAGAATCTGTAGAAAAAAAATTGCAAAAGAAGTAATTAAAAAAGTCATGCAAGACATATGGAGTAATTACTACCAATCGTCAGTTACACCTAATGTAACTATTCTAACTCTTATCTTATGATAAATTTCATTCTGTCAAAAGATCTTATGTTTATTCATTATTAACTCTGATTTCTTTTACTATATAAATACATACTTCGATTATTCTTTTTGAAACTATGACATAAATTTATATTCAAGCATTTTGCTGCAATGTGAACAATTAAGTTAACTAGTGAGAGGACGAAAAAACGACAAGCCATTTTCGTCAGTGAAAAATGCACTATATTGTGCTATGCCCTTTTATTTTGCATTCATGATAACTATAGGCTCATTCGAAAAGATGACTGACTCATAGACAGCAGTGGAAGATTGGAGAAGTCGACCGGGAAACTGTTCCACTTTAAGGAGAAATGGTTCACCCCAACTAAAGCAACACATTAAGGAGAAATGGAAAACGCGAAAGCGACATTTATGCAAGGAATTATTCGATACCGTACAGATATTCAGTACAAAGAGAAATCCTTTTCATTCCAAAGGGAAATAGGGCAAACGTGAATATATACGAATTCAATATCCAATTCAATACAATATCGATATTTTCATTTACAGAGAAATCCATTTTTTCAAGTTCTATTTCTCATTATGAGTGAAGATATGGATGAATCATTTCACACTACAATTAATTCATTGCCGCTGGAAAAAAAACAATCTCTGCTAGAATATCCTCTTAGAGTAAAAAAATAAAATGGTCAATATCTCTTTGAATTTTTTTCCTATCTTCCTATAAGCGGAGATATGAATCAACGTTTGGACTTTGAATTGTTTCGACTTCAATCGGAAAATGATGTGCCGTTGAATTTGTGAGGGTAAAGGATTTCTCCTTGAAGCGGAACAGTTTCTCTCGGTTGCGGGATATGGTCCATCCCTCCTCATAGAAAAGAAAATAGAGTATGATCAAATCAACGGAAACATCAAACAAGGTTAGAAAAAATGAATATGCCGGACTATGATATGTCATTCTTTCTAATGATTACTATACAATCATAACTATTTATAAAACTTACTGCAACATTGGAATTGTCATCGATTCCAATATTTGATGGTTTTAAATCCTATTTGAATGAAATAGAATGAGAATCATATAATATATGGCAACATTTATATATAGATTTAACTTACACGATGAATAACACCAGCTGAATGTATAAACTAAACAAAAAACAAAAGAAAAATCATGAAAGTAATATTACATTGAATTGATATTCATTAAGATTGGATTCATACCTTAAGGCCACGTAAAAGTGAATAAATTATTTGTTTAATAAGTTCTTCAGTAAATGGTATGCGACGTCGAATAACTTTATTTAAGTCATATTGACAGTAATTAAGTACAAAATATCTGAAAAATAATATACTCATCTTTATCAAACAAAATTATTCTATGAAAAAAAACATACAATGTTTGGAACTGATTTACATCCTTTTCGGGTGTAAACACATTATATAGTTGCACAATCTTAAATAGAAATAAATATCAATATTAATTATAGAATAAAGTAGAGCTAAATTTCTACAAACTTGTGCATCAACGTGGTTGAGATGCATGAGAAGTTTAAGTTCGCGATAAGTTCGTTTTGCATGTACTCGAGTTTTAAATGGACTAAACATTTTCTTAATAGCTACTTGTCTGCCTAATTCCTAAATAACAATATATTTATAGATTATTTTTCTTGATTATTACAATCAGACATACTGTATCAGTAGCTCGGCTAAAAATGTAATTTAACTATTAGAGGAATAAAATATAATAAATATTCGAACTTACATGACAGAACCAAAAGCTCCTTGTGCAATATGAACTGGATTTTGATATCTTATGGGTAATGTATATATAATTTCTTTGCAAGTAACTGTATGCCATTGTGCTTGATCTGTATTAGCACCGGTAGTCATAGTCGATTTTGCTAAAATGAAAAAATCAAGACATAGATATATGTATTTATATAGTGTTAATCGTATAAAAACAAAATAATGAGGTTTTTCATCGGTTGTCGAACAGAAAGAAGAAAAAAATAACAAGAAAGAAAGAAGAGAAGTAGAAAGATGTGTTGATTTCAGGTAATATGAAAGGAGGAAAAATCCATGAAAATAGCTCAAGTTTATTTTGAATGGGTAATTTCTTGTGTAATGGTAAAATTTAATGGGATATTTCAGCGAAAAGAATTGGAAGATGCATGACGATTTTTATTAAAAACAAACAAGGAACTAAGTACATACAAGTTTTCGACGACTCAATCGAGTTTCTTGTTTGATCAATCGGTGACGGTGATTTTTCTTGATAAAGTCCACAAAATAACAAGTTTTTCATACGTTTAGCCGTGGTTATTTTTGTCCTTTGTTTATTAGAAAAAATATTAGATAATGCTTATTGTAACGAATAGTTTATCTAAAGACATCGAAATAATAGTTATTTTTATTGAAAGATCAATTGAAAAATGATAAAAAAAATAAATATTGTATAAAAAATAAAAATAAAAAAAACCTCCACCATGTGATACCCGATGGTGGTTATATGTTTTGTTATGGTTTTGTATAGGTTACTTATTTCTTAAGTGTTGTTGACAGAAAGAAGAATAGTAAAAATAAAAAATAAAAAAGATGACAATACCTTTAAGTATAAATACTCGACTACTTTTTTTTAATCATTAGTCTTTTGATGTATGCATTATTTGGACTTTAATATAGTTTCAATAGATATTATTTTATTTCTTTTTCTTTTTGAAGTTAGTATTACACTTACTTTGAAATAGGATTCGATTTGCTTATGAAACTTCGTGCTTCTTTATCTTAATAATACACTATCTCAAAACAAGTAACAATCCACCTATGTTAAAAAATAAAATGAATACATGAATAATAATAGTCGTTCTTTTATACTCATAAGCGACATGTGTGTTTTCTTTTTTTTTCCTTCCTCTTTAGGATTTTTCCCAAGTTTGAAATATTTTTACATAAAAGAGAAGAATAATGATGCAATAATGCTGAGAATTTTACAAGAGAGAAAGACTCACTACTACTGTCATATATTATGAGAAAGAAAATTTATAAATTATTCGAATATGTATTTTTTATCTTCTAATACCACGTGTAACTTATGGTATTCTTCGTTCCTCTTGAGTACTTCTACCTATATGTATACGTACACACATATCATTCTGTTGTTCTTATTCTCTTTGTTATACATTCGTTCTACGTTTTCTATCTGTTCTCTTCCGTCTGATCCTGCTCGTCTCGTTAAATAACCAACTGATACGTATATGTATATACGTGTTTTACAAGTTCATTCATTCTAGCTGAATCAGGCATATTGCAATAAGCTACATTTGTAGAATAAAATGCTTTTTTTTTGTAAAGTTAAAAGATAAATAAACATATAGAGAATCAATTTATCAAATAAATGTAATTGAGAATATCTAATTGTAAATATGATATAATTATAAACATAGTTAGTTTGTAGAAAAATAGTTCAAATGTACAAAAACTTAGTTCTTTCTACTGAAAAACTCTTTTTATTTATTTAAAACAGGACAGCGTAGCTTCATAACTAACTATTGAATAGACCCTGTCACATGCACTCGATTTTATATCATGGTTAACTAATTTATACATTATCATACAAGTATTAGGAATATGTTTTTATCGTTTTGATTTCAAAATTCAGTTTAGTTTAATATCAAAAGTGACTTTAAAATTATTTATCGAAATACAATGTAATACACTCTATGAAAAAGAAATCAGCTCAAAAAGATTTCATTTAAAACAATTTTGTCTATGTCATTCATTCTTCTCTAAAGTAAGTCTTGATAATAAAAATAAAACTCGATATTGTTCAAACGATAAATTGTACAGTTCCGAGTCTTGTTAGAAAACTGTACGATATACTATTTTCTATGGGTAGTATTAATATCAAGTAATTATGAATTTCATTTGAATTCTTGACATTGATCTTCTACTTGTTAAATTATCGAAATAAAACACTTGAGAAAAATGATATAAAACATATATAAATGACTCTAACAAAACAATATAATTTTACAGTGATTAATATCAAAGCAGTTTTAGTAGCTGAAAACTTTTCAGCAATGGCTTCTATCCCATATGTGTTATTTTATAGAGATTTATACCATTTCAAGAAAAGTATTTGATTTCGTATTAAAATCAAGATAATTAGAATTATCAATTAGCTTCAATTGTAAACGTCTTATGTTTTTCCTAATTAAGGATCACGACATAGTATTTCACACATGTTCTACAATATAATAGAGAGAAGGTGAGATATCTAATCATTCCTATTTTCGAAAATTTATTTCAAAATTTTCTTGGTATCTGGATGCAACACTTTTAATCACAGTTAGATATTTAGTAATTGTGAAATACTACCACAGATTCCGTATGTTTTTTATTACATTTGACAGAGAACCTTTGATTCGGAAAATTTGCGTGTACTCTAATTTCTGATGAATCTAACCATTAGTTTTAAATGGCATCTAAATATAATTTGTAGAGATAGCCTAGAAGATATGTCATTCTGGACTAGTCATTGCGCGAGTTCCAAATTTTGAATTTAAATAGATCGAAGTGCGTCTCAACTGAAGATAAAATGAAATTCATCCTCAAGAATGTAATGCAAAATATAACTCGAAACAAAATACAGGCAACTATCTTTCAAATTAAGCTATCGGTCGGTTTTCATTAATTCATGGAATTCCTTTGAGCTTTTTATTTACATAAAACTAAATTCTGAACAAAAAGACCTTGACATTATTGTCATTACAGAAAGAAAAAGATTCCGTTATTTTTGCTGTAAGCAATTGTTCCATTCTTTTCATTTCTCTATTCTTGATAATTATGAAATATTCTGATAACATTATATATTCATGACGATCTTCTAAAACGAACTAATCTCAAACTGAACGAACGAGCATATTTATAAAGATTTAATTGTCATAATACTAAATAATTACTGATAACCATGCACGATTAGTAGTTCCTTTCTGTGAGCGTTGATGAAATTCAAAAGTAATTAATACTGTGCAAGATAATCATAATCTCATCTTCTTATAAATTTGATTAAATCAAAACAGGATGTTCAAGGATGAATCAATGCAATTTTTTTTTGTAGAATCGCTAAAAACAAACTTACCATGAACTAAAGACTAACAGAAAACAAATCGATTTATATCGTAAATCAAGAAAAACAATTAGAGATGTTTCACAATCAATAGAATATAAGTTTTTCATATGAAATTCAGAGAAATCAGTACGTATATTAATAATCGAAAGAAATTATAGTTTCCTATTATTTCTAACCCCGATATAATGCTTTTTTAACAATAGAAATCAATTTGTTCCACATTGTTAACAAGAGATCGTTATTATTCTTTTTACCATTGAATGGAAAAGTACATGAAAATGAACGTTCATTTCTATTTCAGAAGAAAACAAAAATTTCTGATACACAAAAAATATTTATGTAAATTACAAATTTCCATCTCTTTTGATATAATAATATGTCATAAAAATCTGATTCCAAAAATCTTTTCTGACACAATCTATATTTTCTCCTGATTTGCATATATTAAGATTATAATACAAATGATCTATAGATTTATAATTATTGTTTTCTATTAGTTTAATGGAAAATAAATATCTTATTTAAGCATGTGTTAAACAAAATACAAATAATATTTTTCATCAAACTTTATTAAATTTAAAATACACCGAAAGGAAAATTTTCTTTTATGACCAATAAATATTCTTTAGATATTTCTATAAATATATGCAAATTTATTTTAATATATAATAGTTTCTTTTAGAATGTCTTTATTTCTTCTTGTCTCTAAGAATAAAAAAAATTATAGTCTCTTAACACTATTACACATATGTTATAGTTGACACTTTCTTGGTTTCCTGTTCTTAGACAAACTAAAATCTTATTAACATCTTTCTTTCTCGACTTTTTCCTCAATAGAAATAAAAACAAAAGAAAATAAATTCTTAACATAGATTGAGCAAACATATGTATTTCTTATATGACACATGGAAGAGATAAATTTTTTCAAATCATTGTTTTTCTTCTTCTTTTTTTTCTTCCGTAATCAATAATATTCTATTTCTATGGTATATTATTTTCAAAAAGTAAGTATATCATGTCATAGAAGTAATTATAGATGAGTGACGTGCTTTTTCTCTTCTGTCTCTCTCCCTTTTATCAAAACGCTCATTTCCTTGCATACAAAGTAGATGAATAAAGTAAGAAGTCACCATAAAGAAGAAAAAAAAATTTTTTTGCCTTATATTAACATATTTAAGATATGATGTCTCGTAAATTATCATCTCGTTTACTACTAACGAAACAACAACTAACAACAACAACTACACCAACAATAATTAATACTAATAATGAAAGACAGTCAAAAATTGTACGTTGGATATGTGGAATGATTATTGGTTCAGCACCTTTCTTGATAATTCTTTTTAGTTGGATGTTTGTATCAATATGTGTTAATAATTTCGTTAGACTTTATCAATATAGAAAAAAACGATATCGACGTGCAACACAAACGAATGAAATTGAAAATATTATATCTAAGACTGATATTTAATATTGTATTTTTTCTTATTTATTCAAATGAAAATTCGTTTAAATTCTATTGGTAAGAATTTCTTCTATTTAAACATATCGTTAATAGTAAATAATAAAAGAAGAACTGTTTGCTACAACTTATAAATTTTTTAATATTCTAGAAGGTTTTAACTCATTTTCTTACGGTATATTTACCATATGACATATGAATTATGCTGACTAATGTAATTAAGAATACTCTACCAGTGACAACTTTCTTCTTTTTTTTCTAGCGTCGTAAAACTATTCATGCATTTATAAAGAATGGAAAGAAAACATCTAGAATCATTCTGGTAATTGTTATATCTTCCTTATTAGTTTTTTTTTTTAGAAAACCTATATAATGTATGAAAAAATTGTTGTATAAGTACAAAGAAACAATTTCCATAAGTGTTAAATAAACTTAGTTTTTTCTAACATAAATAATAACTTATTCTTGAATCAGAATTGTCATTCTCATTGTTTATATTGCCGATAAGAAGATTGATAATGCATAAGGACTATTGATCTTAAATATAGTGCAAGAAAAATTCATTATTTCTATAGAAATCATTGTCTAAAGACTATAAGCACATGCATCTAATAAATTTTCAATTCATCGACGATATGTCATACTGATAGGTTCAGAAGGTTTCTGTTTTATATTCATCATCATTATTATTTATATTCAGGATAATGACATCTATTAAGTTTTGTTGAAATAAAAATAGTTTCTGACATTTGTTAGTATTCTCTGAATCTTTATTAACTCTCATATGAATGACTAATATTTTATTTTTCTATTTCAGGAAATGTTCAATATTATAATATTATCAATTATTGACCATATGGAACAGTTTTTTTAAAATAAATCAATACTGATATTTGATTGATACCAAAAATAGAAAATAAAAGCTATTGATGTTGTATATGTATATATATATATATATAATAGAACCGAGAAAAAAGAAAATTTATTTTTTATCTTCACCAGTCATGAGGAACAGCAAAAGAGGAGAAAATCAAGCAAGAGAAAAACACACGCACACAAAAGAACTTTCGTGTTTCTATAGATAGATACTGTTACGAGAGCAAAACATAATTGTTTTTTTTTCGAATATTTCATTTAGTTTGGTGGGGATTAATGATGATATGATAAACTCGATGGAATGCAAGCAAATAGGTGACAAAACGAAAACAAGAAAAAAAAGAAAGAAAAACCGAGAAGCATCAATCGACAAGTAGCACCCTGTATGAGAGAGAGCATAAAAAAAAGAGAATCAATCATCAGACTAAATATTTTGTGGCTGGAGAGGTTGAAAACAAGAGAGAGAAATAGAACAAGTGAAGGAGAGAAAAAAATTGTACATATATAATTAAATCTATCTCGATGATAAATCCATTCGACGAGTACCACTATTCGTCGAATAAAGATTAAGCCATACATCGAGTGACTGTTGACACACCTGAGGACGTTTTCCTAGAGATAAGAATAAACGAATTATTTTCATGTATATAATACAAACGATAAAAAAAAAATTTCTACTTACCAACTTTTTGCTTAGCTACTAATAAACCATTACTTGTAAAACCACAATCAAGCCATTGATGAAGAATTGCTTGTTCATGTCCAATCTAAATATATCCTATTTGTTTTTTTTTTATAATTCAATTAAATGAATATACTTCTGATGATGTAAGAAAATGAACAGGTAATAGATTTCCATCACAATCCATTAATGGATGATAGAATATTTGTAGATCATTATTGTCATTTGGTTGTTGATTTATTAATGATGATGAAGATGATGATGGACGTTGTTGAATATCATTATCATGATTAAGAATTAATGGTGATGATGAGCGTGATGATGATGATGATGATGATGAGATATTTATACGTTCTTGCATAGGTACAAGAGCAGAAAAATGATTACGAGTAAAACCAAGACATATGGGTGATTTTGAACAAAAATTTGTTTCCCATAGTAATGGTAAATAGACACCTTGAAAACGAGCAAGACCAATAAAATATTCGCCACGATAAGATTTAACATTTGTTACACCATAAACAATAATTGGTCGACGAAGTATATGTGATAATGCAAATATATGTGCATGTCCTAAACTTTCACCAGGTTGATTTGCAAATGTTAAAACATCATTCCAATCACTTCGTAATTGATGTTCATCTTGTCTATATTGTTGTTTTTCAGCAACTAATCGTTCATATTCACTCCATCGTTCAAAAAATCTATTACAAAGAAATTATTATTAAAATGAACAAATTTATTTCTTTTATACTTGTTTGATCCATTTTGTAAACATTCAGCCATTGCTCGACGTAATGTATTCTCTGTATCCCATACTCCAAGACAAACTTGTAAAACACTATCTAATAAACAATCACCATTCTTTCGATTCCATAATGCATATAAACGAGAATGAAATCGATTTGTAACTTCACTATTCCAATTGATTATTCGATTATCAACTTCAAGTTCTGAAAAACAAAAATAATGTTATGACTATCCATCAACTCTAATTCATGAGATCTAGTCAATTATCTATGATTACAATATACCTTGTTGAACTTGTTGATCTAGTATATCATCAAATATTTGTTGTTGTGTTCGATGAGAAAAGTCACGAATTTCTAAAGTTAAAAAAAAAAGAAAATGCTAACGATTTCATTTATTTATTATTCTATTTTAACCTGCTGGTAGAACAGCTGTAAACCATTCTGTTAAAAAATATGATTGAAAATCTGTAACTTTTTTTAATTTTAAATGACTATGAAAAAAATGTTGAATCATTCCATTTATTCTATTACATATATTTGCTGGTACACGTCTTTGATGAGGAAGTTTTTTTTGTTGTCTCATTAATTGTTGAAATGCTGTTTCAAATTTACAAAATTGTTCTATTTGTCCAGTTATATTAGCTAAATTTTTTAATGTACGTCCAACTAAATCAATAGATGATAAATAAGAACTAATAAGAAATTGAGTATCTTCAATAACAATTTGTCGTGTTGGATCACCACCACAAAGTAAATATTCGAAAACAATCGGTAATGAACCATGATCAAGTAATGTTTGACAAGCTTTTAACCATAAACGATCGATACTTGCTGATGATGAATTTTTTTTATTCGTTACTAGGCGTTTTTCACCACTTATACGATTATGTTTACTTTCTTTATTTGATATTCGTTCAACATTTATATTTTCCATAGATTTATTTATTGCATTCATACGTTGTTCTTCATCTGTACCGATTAAAATCGATGAACATGTTGACGATGAGGATGATGATGAGCATGTTGGTGTCGATATAATTGGATTAGAATTATTTGTAGTATTTTGACGAAAAATTCCACATGATATACATTTTTTTGTTGCTGGATAATCTATGAAAATAAAAAAAAAAAGAACATAAGTCGATTGTTGTTTATATGACCTTGATCTTCAAGAGTTCGACATGTTTTTATTTACAAGGACATTTTTCATTATATTATATTTAGGATAAAATTAGGCTTTCTTTTTCTTCTAATTAGATTTATTTTTTAAACTTACTATCAGTTGTACATCGAGTACAAGTCCATTTTCTTAAACGTTGTGAAATTCGACGAGAATCAATAATGGATGGTGGAGGTGAAATTCGTTCATTAGTATTCGTTTCAATTGATGATGGTTGTTGAACAGGTGATACACGTGATATTCCAATAAGACGATATGAACCACATTGAGTACAACGTACTGCTCTTGGATAATTAAGAAATGTACATTGATCACATGGCCATTTTTCAACTGAATCAATATAGGTTGCTGGTATTTGTTGTTGAGCTAGTTCTTGTTGTGTATTAGATTCAGATGAAGCATTTAATTGATAAATATCCGCTGATGCTGCATTCATGATTGTTATTTTTGGTTGACGACACATGGTACATTTTTGTGCAAGTGCGAAATTTAAATATGTACATACTGAACATGACCATTTATCATCAACGATGGTCGTTGTTGCCATTGTATTCGAAGAAGTTTTTTCGAGATTTTCATTTCGATGTTCAAAGTCATCTATCGATGAATCATTGTCATCATCAATTGGATTATTCATCTAATAGAATAACAAAAATAAATAAGTAATCAAATATTATATTTCTATTCATATATATACATATATGTAGTTTATTTACTATTTATATATTTATTGTTATTGTTCCAATATGAACATTGATACCAATAAAAACAATTGTTCATCGAAATTTAAAATCGTAGAACGAAAAATGATCTATATTTATATTATATAATAATTTAGGAACAAATATCTAAAAAGACCAACAATATTTGTTTTCTTAAATACAATTCGGACCAATGATGACGGCAGTAGAAAAGTCACCTGCTTTCCTTCGAGCCTCGCTCGTTCTTGCTGCTACGTCTTCCTTCCTTCCTGTTGCTTTCTTTCGCTGTGTGTCTATTTGTCTACTTGGTTACTACGAATCAATAAAATCAACCAATGAAATTTCTCGAAAAATCCTCTACTTATTTGTTATGAAAAAAAATAAGTTTTCATTTACAGAGAACTGTTGAATATTAAATAAAAATGAATTTTTTTTTCTTTTATATAAAACGATGATTTTCTGTTTTTTTCTTTTTTTTTCGTTCTTTTCTTTTATAACAGATCAATACAAAACACACACATTAACAAAAACAAACGTAACAAGTACGAGTGATGATGATGTGAATTTGTTTGATATAAATTAACCGATGATTTCTTGTGCTTGTTATTTAATTTAATCAAATAAACCAAAACCCTAAAGAAATAAAAATAATAAATATTATATTTTTCTAATCACTTTAAATACATACCATATCGTCTCCTTCTTCATCCGATTCTTCTTTTTTCTTTTCTTCTTTCTTGGGTGCTTCTTTAGCAGCACCTTTTTTAGCATCGGTTGTTGCTGCTGGAGCACCGGCACTTGGAGCTGCTGCACCACCACCAGCTGGTAAAGCGGATAGTTTCTTTGTACCTTCAGCAATAATTTGTTCGATATCTTTTCCTTTGCATGAATCGATAACTTTTTGTGCTTTGGTTTTATCACAATCGATACCGACACTACCGAGAATTTTCGATACAGTTGCTACATCTGGAGTAGCTACACCACCAAGGATTGCAAGAACGTAAGCAGCAGCGTAACGCATTTCGATGGAATCGGAACTTAATTATTTAAAGTATCTAAAAAAAGAAACTAGCGTAGAGATTTTCGAGTTGAAATTTCTGAAATGATAAACAACTAATAATAAACCAACAGAAGTATTTATAAAACCTCGACGAAAGAGGATATAATATATTGCATGATTGCATTAGAATATAAAAAATAAATATAATATTTATTGGTTAAATTAATAAACCAATAGAAGAAAAAATAAGCATAAGAATAGGAAAAGATTTGTTTATTTTTTTTGCTCTTCTTTTACCATCTCGTCTTGTCTTGGACGATAGTTAATGTCATACGTCATTTTTATTTCTACCTATTCATTCCGATGGTTAATATCAAACACCAATTAAAACATATCTTATTCTAAATTGCTAGTATTTATTATATAAACATACAGTTTTTTTTTGTCTTAATAATCCTTCAAGCTGGATTATCCACCTGATGTCGACATGCAGAGTTAGTTATTTTAATTAAATCAATTAGAAAGAAAATAAAAACAAAAACTTTTTTCAGGTGCCGGTAGTGAAGATGATTTACTCGAGTGGTATCCTTCACAAGTAAAAGGACCGGTTGATGATGAAGTACAAGAAGGTATAAATATACTATTGAAGTAGTTGTTGTTGTTTTTTGATAGAAAAATTTCTTTTAGCCGATTTAATATCTACAATTGAATTCAATGAAGATGGTGAATTTCTTGCTGTTGGAGATAAAGGTGGAAGAATTGTAATATTTCAACGTGAACAACAAGTATAAGATTGTTAATAATTAATATTAGATTTTCTTCATGATATTTTGTTTTTAGACTAAAACATCATCACGTCTTAATGACTATAATGTTTATATAACATTTCATTCCCATGAACCAGAATTTGATTATTTAAAAAGTTTGGAAATTGAAGAAAAAATTAATCAAATACGTTGGCTTAAAAGAAAAAATGCTGCACATTTTCTTCTATCAACAAATGGTAAATATCTTTTTTCTTATAAAGTAACAATAAATAAATCAATCGATTTTTATTTATTTAGACAAAACAGTTAAATTATGGAAAATTTCAGAAAAAACTAAACGAGCAGAAGGTTATAATTTACGTGATGATAATGGAATAATTCGTTCAGCAGATAATATAACAAATTTACGAATACCAGTGATTAAACCAATGGAATTAATGGTTGAAGCAACACCGAAACGTGTTTTTGGTAATGCACATACATATCATATCAATTCAATATCATTAAACAGTGATCAAGAAACATTTTTATCTGCTGATGATTTACGAATTAATCTATGGCATACAGAAGTAACAGATCAAAGTTTTAGTAAGTAGAAGAAAAAAAACCAATATTAAGAATATTTATATTTTATTTATTTAATCATGCATATATGTATTATTTATTTTTCATAGAATAATTAGAGTATAAACATGTATTTCAGTAAGCAATGATCCGAATAGAGTTCTTTTGATCTAACTATAAATCTTACAAAACTTTATATACATAAAATTCTAATGATTCGTTTTTGCTCCTCAATAATTATATGTAACATTATTTTTATAAGCGAATCAATTTGTTGATATACGATAGATCATCGAGTAGTAATTTAAATGAAAACTAAACATTCATAAAACTACGTAAAGATAATTTCTCTCTGTCTCTTGTTCCACATGTTAGATTTCAAGAAAACCTAAAGAACATTTTTTTCTTGATTTAGTCAATTACGAAAATAGATACTAGATTGCGACCGGAAAAATCTTGTTTTTTTAACCTTGATCTACGCAAAGTGATTCTCCTGTGATTTCTAATAAGCAAAGATTATTATATTTAATTGCATAAAACATCCTGTTTTGAATGTCTACATTACATAGATAATGTTCGATTTAAACATAATGATTTAATCATAATAAACATGTTAGATAGTAAGCGTTGCAAGGAAATTATCTAGTAAAATATATTTCTAAAACTATTTTTTTAGTTAGGAAACACATATCACTTTTTCAATGTTAATAATAAACAATGTTAATACGCTATTTGTCAAACTACGTCGAATAAATTCCTAGTGAGATAATTAAGCGTTTGTCTTTTTTCCTTTCCTACTAATTATGTATATTATTTTCTTTTTTTGTACAGAAGAAAAAAAACGCGAAATTATCTGTTATCATTGATTCTATGTAATAATTATGGTTAAACTTTTTTTTTCTCTCGTAACATGAAAATAATTAATTAGAAAAAAAAATCATGACTTCATGCAGCTCATAAACGTAATATTTGATTAATTTTTAAAAAATGTTAAAGTACAATCTCATGACGAATAAAAAATATGAAATAGTTTAAAGATAAAACTAACTACATCTCTGTAATTATATTTAATATTATAGATAATCAAGTTTAATTAGAAGATACCATTTCTCGCAGAAAGAAGTTATTAAGTTCAGTATTCTATCGTGTCTTTCTTATGAAAAATTGATGGGTTTTTCTTTTGCTAATAAATCTATAAAGCAACTTTTATTGTTAAAATAATATTTGTCATAATCCACGGAAAAAGGAAGAAAAACAATTTCTTTTTTTACCTCGATATTTCACTAATTTTTTTAGTTTATGTTTCATACGAGATAGAGAATGACATGTCAAGAGTTCGGAAATTAAATAATAATATATGACAAATATTGATTGAGATTTCATTGGTTAAATTCAATTATCTATTTAGATATTGTGGATATTAAACCACCAAATATGGAAGATCTTACTGAAGTGATAACTGGTGCAGAATTTCATCCACGTGAATGTAATCTATTTGTATACAGTAGTTCAAGAGGTATTATACGTCTATGCGATATGCGACAATCTGCACTTTGTGATCGACATTGTAAAGGTAAAAGGAGAAATAAAGAAAAGTTTTCTTCTTAAAAAATATTTTTTTATTTAGTTTTCGAGGAACCTGAAGATCCAACAACACGCAGTTTCTTTTCTGAAATCATTTCATCCATCAGTGACATTAAATTTAGTCATTCAGGCAGATATATGCTTACACGAGATTTTCTTAATCTTAAAATCTGGGATTTGCAAATGGATAATAAACCAGTTGAAACTTATCCAATACATGAATATCTTCGAACGAAATTATGTGTTTTATATGAAAATGATTGTATTTTTGATAAATTTGAATGTTGTTGGTCACCACGTGACGAGTAAGTTTAAAAAATTTATTAGTATATTTAACTTTGTTTCTTTTTTTTATACAGTCATTTACTTACTGGTTCATATCATAATTTATTCAAAGTAACATCACGTTCAACACGTAAAGATGCAATATTTGAAGCTTCTCGTGAACAAGCTATTCGACCACGACAATTATTAAAATCTAAAAAAGTTTCACCAGCAGCTCGTCGAAATCGTCGTGATGAAATAAATCCGGATAGTTTAGAATTTCCAAAAAAAATTCTTCATTGTGCTTATCATCCTGTAGACAATATTATTGCTATAGCAACTGCACACAATCTTTTTACATATGTAGCCAAGGATTCTGCATCATTATCATCATCCTAGACAAAAACATTTTTTTCCTTTCTTTTTCTATTCATTCTTGTTTCTTCTTTCATATTCAAATTAGATTATTGAAATGAACAAAACATATGTTTCTATTTTTTTCTTCTTCATCTTCGTTTGAGCATGTATCTTTTTTTGTTCTTCTTCTTCTTCTCCTCTCTCTCTGTGTGCTTCTTATAAATCATTGAATGGTAAATGAAAAGGAATTATCCAGTGTATGAGAAAAGAGACTAGATTCATTATTTTTCGCTTGAAATGAAAACAACCTTATTTATTATTGTGTTATCACTCTCATGATGGAACCTCGGTGATTATTTATATCCCATTTCCTAACATGTCGTTTCTTTTCTCTCACTTTTTTCTATTCTAGAGCTGGATCAATAAATTTTTCCAGCATTATTTCATTCTTTTTCGTTTATTACTAAATATATATATATATATATACACATACCATTCCAACTTAAAAATGCATTATGTGTCTATATAGTATTTATCTATCTTGTTCTCTATATTTCTTTTTTCTTTTGCTTCGTGTTGTTATTCTCAAAGAAAGGCATGTGCGTGTGTGTATTTTTTTTTATCATTCTACTTTTTTCTCCTTACCATCGAATCAAAAAAAAACAAAACAAAAATGATTATATCTGTCTCTTGTCTTTTTTTTCT